CCACAGAGACTAAGTGCCTCATGAAATATGGGATGGCAGGAGGAGCCTTTGGTTTTCTAATGGGGAAGTGGAGGATGCCAGTAATGACGTCCCATGTTTCCATGAGCATGTATTATTGGTGCTTGCATTCATAGAGTTGAATCCATAAATTTATAGAAAATTATACTCATTTTCTTCATCTCAGAAATCAGAAGTTTCCAAGTAGGAAAGCAAATTGACTTTCCTGTAATTTTCTTAGCTCATTTTAGTTCAGGAGCCTTTTACTATCTCAAGTTTTCTAAGTGTAGCTCAGAGGCAAAGGAATCTTCCACTTTAAATAGCATGAAACATCTGGGAGTTACTTCTTGTATGTGAAATTAACAGTTCATGGAATTCCATGAACTGTAGAGTTTGTCCTAAATTCACAGTAGAATGAAAGTCCTTTTCCCTGATGGAAAACTTTCAGTGGTGTGCTGAGATTGGTTTTGCTCAAGACTGCATTTTGCACATTGATTTAATTAGGTGATTCTCATTCTATGTTACTTGAAGATGATGTCTCTATGGGATGAAGTGAATTTTTTTTTTAAACAGAGATATGATGCAGGAGGAATTAGTTATTAGCTAATTTCAGAGACTGCTGATCCAGTCATCAGACTGCCAGGCTGAAGGGATCTGAGATTGGGAGACTTTTCAAGAGCACTCTTCTGATGTAATAATTGAACAATGTTCCATATGAGTTCTTCCTTATATTACAAGTTCACCTTTTAGAATTCAAAACATCTGGTAAACATGAAATTCTCCCTCAGAAACTTTCTGTAATATATATTCTTTTAAACATTTTGTGTGGAAAGTTTATTTCACTAAAACCTGGCAAGCCCAAGCATGCAACTCCAACATATGAGATGGTTCCCTTTTGTTCTAAACATAGCACTGTCCTCTGGATGGGGGCCAACTTTCACAGAAAAGACCTGATTGATCCCGTCTCTCATTATAAACCTTTAATGATATGGAAGACCCAAACACAATGCAAAATAAGAACAGACTGAATCTTAACTGCATTCATATTAGTTTTCTGACCACTTTAACCCACACTAAGCTTACTGTCAATAAAAGCCTCTCTGATTTAAAATAAATATTATTATACCTGCTGCTGCTAAGGTCATATCTTTCCATATTTGTGCAACTGCTTCTTACATTTATCCTTAGTTAATTTCTTATTAGTGTATTTTGGTTCATCTTAGTACACATCGGTATTTTTTACTTTCGATTTTTGTCAACAGTGTCATCTGGAAATTTGGGGTATGTAACTTGATCCAAGTCATTAACAATAAACAATGAAGCAAATAAATATTAATAGGCTAGCACCAAGGACAGAGTCAATATATAGTTAAAGCAGTTAGTTAGAATCTAACTGTGTATATTTACATAGACCCAACTTCAGTATTAATGTACACTTTTCTAACAAAAGACTAATTCACATACCAGACGGCTAATGGATTGATTTGTAACAGAAAATTTAACTGCTGTGACTAATGTTATCATCATGTCCATAGCTGAAATTCTTCTTCTTATTATCAAGATATCTGGGACTTCTTACTCAATAATCAGAAAAGAATGTTTTGCAAATGATCTTGCAAAGCAAAATCAAGTTTAACATACTTAAGAATTATTTCATCTTTTTGTATTCATTCATACAGATTAACAAGAAATCTGATTTACCAATTGGTTGTGATTCAAATGTCAATTTGGGATTATTTTGGCTAGAATTTGTAAGATATTTTCCCTAGTTATGATATTACCAAGGTGGTTAAATTCCCAGTTATTTCAACAAAAGCCTGTTTGAACTGTAATGTAGATAAAACAATGTACTTTTAGCAAAAACAGGAAATGGTACCTGTCTTAAAGCTAATAATTAAATCAAACACACAGAATGAATGAAAAATGCTTCATAAAATATTCACAAAAATTCTCCTACCTTCAGTTTCTCTTGTGGTAAGCTGGTCCCAGTCTGCTTTCAACACCTTCCTTCCATCCTCATGGCACAATGGGTATATCTGTAAAGTGGAATTTATTATGCTGCACTTTAGTATCAACTTATTTTTGCTCTCTTCTTTACTGGAAGAATCTTTTGTAAACTCTGACTTGCTAGTGGAGGTTTTGAGATGTTTTTAAAGAAATTTTGGGAGGATTTAATTATCAGCATGATGCACGCAAAAAGGCCAACAGAAGGCCAGTTCAGTGATCCATTATTGGTAAGAACATTTATAGGAAAAGAGGATAGTTGTCTAACCGTTGCTGAACTACAGAAAATAATGTTTCATAACAATCGCTGAGTGAGAGTCAGCTGACTGGTTTCTCAGAATAAGTCTTAAACCCTTTTAGTCCCAAATTGCTTATGCATTTTATCAGGAGTGCCAATTTCTTCCCAGAGGAAGCGTTGGAATAATAAAACAAAATAGGGTTCTGTTCCATACCAAGTTTGGACAATTTTTTTTTTAACAGATATAATGTGGTCTTGAATATATAAACAACTCTGGTTTTTAAAAAATATGTGGTTTGGTTCAGTCTTACTAATGAACCCAAATTTAGCTCTCCACATTTAGAGGTCATAGGTGTGTATATATGAGAATATTACAGAGAGACTTTGTGTGTGTGCAGAGGCTTCACACTCTCTATGGAATCAAGGTCAGGAAGACTGTGCCCTCAGCACTGTGATGATTTATGACAAAGCAGGTGTTACGCAGCATGTTGAAACAAAATAGAATAAATGCAAGTGTTCACAACATTACATTTCAAGCCAGTAAGGACTAGTTCAAAAATATGAAAACCTGCAAAATATTAAAACTGCGGGGAAATCAATTTTGCCTTATGAAAACAAGATATCAGTGTATCCTGAACAGCAGATGAAGATGATTAGTAAGAAGAGTTATCCAATATGCGTGCATGCTTGGTCACTCAGTCGTGTCCAACTCTTTTTCAGCCCCGTGGACTGTAGTCCGCCAGACTCCTCTGTCCACGGAATCCTCCAGGCAAGAATACTGGAGTGGGTTGCCATTCCCATCTCCGGGGGATCTTCCTGACCCAGGGATCAAACCTGCATCACTTGCATTGGCAGGCAGGTTCTTTACCTCTGAAGCAACCAGGGAAGCCTAATGCCAGCATTATAAATAGGCTCTATGTTATATTTTAAAATTCTTCACTGGAGTGGTAACATTTCTACTTAAATAGAAAAGTTAAAAGCCAAAGATGTTCTTCCATGAGTTAATTATTAAGCACCTCTCGGTAGATATTTATGATTCTTGGATGATGGAATCAGATTTTGTCTAATAACTACTTGAGATGATGAAATCCAGTAGAAATAATTTATTATATTAATTAAGAGATACTGTAGAGACAGGTTTAATAGTAATAGGAATCAGACAGTATTATTAAGGTTGGGGTGGATATATAAAATAATGCTTTTCATGACTAAAATTTATCTTGATTCACTTTCTTAAAATAACTCTTAATGTATTTCATTTCCCTGATACTTTTATTACAATTCTCTATGAATATCACTTAGCCTAGGTAGGATATTTCATTAATTAAGTATAAATTGTATTATGTCAAGACAGGAAATAATAAAGTTATGTGTGAGTGTTAACATATCTGAGAGTAAAAGAAAAATTAATCTAACCAAGATGCCAATCACAAAAATAAATTACATGAGTTGAAGAAAAATGTGAATGTCAAATAAAAAAGAGGAATAGCATTCTAAATCTAGCAAGGTGAATGGGTAGAGTTGAGTTCCAGATAAAGAAATATTTAAACTCATAACTATTACTAGACTTAATTTCAAGCTGACAAATTTCAATTTAGATTTCTTCCTACCCTGAGCTGCAGCAATATGTCTCCATTTATTGATGAATACTGTCAAGAATGACAATGGAAGACGAATTAAACCATCAGGACACTCCTCCTAGGATAGAATGCCATCTGTATGAGGGAACAGAAAACAAATTAAGTGTAAAATTAATGTGTATCACCAGCATCCTCAAAACACCGACTCATCATCAGGCTGAAGTAAGCCTTTGTTATATATTCTTCAGCTTTCAGTTGTCAGTAAGCATGGGGTCTTTGAACAAAAACAAACGTCTTCCCAGAAAGGCTATGGTAAGTAATGATAAATTGTCAAAAGACACATTCAAGAAAAGCAAAAATTAAATAGGGCTCTTTTTATTTAATTTTTTCATTCAATTTTAAATTATAATTTATTTAAAAAACTTTTTTTTTTCAAAATTTCCCTTTAATTAGTAAGAGGAAATTAATAGGCTTATTTTAGAAAAAAAAAAAGAGAGAAACAGAAAGCAGAAAAGAAGCCTGTGAAATGTTTACTAAAGAAAAGCACACTGTTATTCTATACCTCTCCAAACTTTCATTCTTTCTTTAAGCTAACTATGCCTATACTGAATATACATTCAAAATGTATATTAAATTCTGTATCTGATATGTTTGTATACACATATATTGTCTTCTGTACTTTTATTCACTTAGTGTAATATAAGCATGCTTGCATGTTACAACACCCTGTTGATAAAGATAATTCTTAACGCATTCACGGTATTCTGACTAGTGTATACAATATCTCCAGATATAAAAAACATTTTAACTTGATGCATATAAATAGCTATCCAAAGACTGTAACAACTTGCACCATTATGTCACCATCATAATATGAGACTGCTTATTTCATTTTTCTTCCTAACATTAGTCTATTTATGTACTGTTTGCTCCATTTCTTAGATCTCTTTATCAGTTCCTATCCAAGTACTCCACAGTTTAAATAATAAAGCTTTAGAGTGTATTTTGATATTGAACAGCCAAATGTCTCCTAAAATTCCTCCTTTTTCATCAGTCTATAAAAAGTTTATTAGGCCTTCCCCCATATTCATGTTGCAATTATTTTTAAAAGCAATACAAATAATCTTACAATTCTGATTATGTCTTATTGCCTCAAGCCCTTCAATGACTTACCTTTTTGTCTACTGTGGTGGTGATCAAGTAGGGGCTATCCCATCCCCCAGGGAACATCTGGCACTATCTGGAGGCATTTGGTTGTTGCAGCTGGAGGGGTGGGGTGCTTTCTCCTGGCATCTGGTGGTTAAAGGTCAAGGACTCTGCTGAACATTCTTCATTGCACTGTAGAGGATGACCTTCCCCAACAGCAAAGAATTTCCCCCAATTTCCAAAATGTCAACAGTGTGGAGGTTCAGAAACCTTTATAAATGGAGATAAGTTGAAAATTCCATTGCTTGGCACATCAGTCTCTCTTTCATCTAAGTTAATAGTCTTCAAACTGAGGTATGTATACTGATGGTCAGATTCCAGATTCTCAACATGATCTTCTGGAGAAGGCACCCAAGTTCAAAATAATTCTTCAACATTAGAAGGAGGGAGAGGACGGGGAGGAAGAGGCATATTTTTCATCCATCTCAAATTTTACTATGTTGCAATGCCCCTAGGCTAAAAGGAGAAAACAGAGTAGCAAGCCTACTTAAACCAAGACAGTGCATAAATCCACACAGCTGCATCCATGTGACTTCCGCCTTTTTTTAAAATGGAATATACTAGTGTATTTAATAAATGCTAAGCCAACCCACTCCAGTACTCTTGCCTGGAAAATCCCATGGGCAGAGGAGCCTGGTAGGGTGAAGTCCATGGGGTCACTAAGAATCGGACATGACTGAGCGACTTCACTTTCACTTTTATGCATCGGAGAAGGAAATGGCAACCCACTCCAGTGTTCTTGCCTGGAGAATCCCAGGGACAGCGAAGCCTGGTGAGCTGCTGTCTGTGGAGTCACACAGAGTCGGACAAGACTGAAGCGACTTAGCAGCAGCAGTAGCAAGCTTATCTCTATGCGTAATTTTTTTCTAGATATTTCACGGGTTTATGATTCCATTTGAACTTAACTGGTTTTGTAAAAAAAAAAAAATCCGTTGGGCATATTTTAATTGGATTACATTGATTTTATGGATTAATTTAGGGAATAAAGCTAGTGCAGGTGATGTAATTCCAGTTGAGTTATTTCAAATCCTGAAAGATGATGCTGTGAAAGTGCTGCACTCAACATGCCAGCAAATTTGGAAAACTCAGCAGTGGCCACAGGACTGGTAAAGGTCCGGTTTCATTCCAATCCCAAAGAAAGGCAATGCCAAAGAATGCTCAAACTACCACACAATTGCACTCATCTCACATGCTAGTAAAGTAATGCTCAAAATCCTGCAAGCCAGGCTTCAGCAATACATGAACTATGAACTTCCAGATGTTCAAGCAGGTTTTAGAAAAGGCAGAGAGGAGCCAGAGATCAAATTGTCAACATCTGCTGGATCATTGAAAAAGCAAGAGAGTTCCAGAAAAGCAACTATTTCTGCTTTATTGACTACGCCAAAGCCTTTGACTGTGTGGATCACAATAAACTGTGGAAAATTCTGAAAGAGATGGGAATACCAGACCACCTGACCTGCCTCTGGAGAAACCTGTATGCAGGTCAGGAAGCAATAGTTAGAACTGGACATAGAACAACAGACTGGTTCCAAATAGGAAAAGGAGTATGTCAAGGCTGTATATTGTCACCCTGCTTATTTAACTTATATGCAGAGTACATCATGAGAAACGCTGGGCTGGAAGAAGCACAAGCTGGAATCAAGATTGCTGGGAGAAATATCAATAACCTCAGATATACAGATGACACCACCCTTATGGCAGAAAGTTAAGATGAACTAAAAAGCCTCTTGATGAAAGAGAAAGAGGAGAGTGAAAAAGTTGGCTTAAAGCTCAACATTCAGAAAACTAAGATCATGGTATCTGGTCCCATCACTTCATGGCAAATAGATGGGGAAACAGTGGAAACAGTGGCTGACTTTATTTTTGGGGGCTCCAAAATCACTGCAGATGGTGACTGCAGCCCTGAAATTAAAAGACGCTTACTCCTTGGAAGGAAAGTTATGACCAACCTAGATAGCATATTATAAAGCAGAGACATTACTTTGTCAACAAAGGTCCATCTAGTCAAGACTGGTTTTTCCAGTAGTCATGTATGGACTACTAGTGAGAGATGGACTATAAAGAAAGTTGAGTGCCAAAGAAGAGATGCTTTTAAATTGTGGTGTTGGAGAAGACTCTTGAGAGTCCCGTGGACTGCAAGAAGATCCAACCAGTCCATCCTAAAGGAGATCAGTCCTGGGTGTTCATTGGAAGGACTGATGTTGAAGCTAAAACTCCAATACTACGGCCCCCTGATGCAAAGAGCCGACTCATTGGAAAAGACCCTGATGCTGGGAAAGATAGAGGGCAGGAGGAGAAGGGGACGACAGAGGATGAGATGGTTGGATGGCATCACCAACTCGATGGACATGGGTTTGGGTGGACTCTGGGACTTGGTAATGGACAGGGAGGCCTGGCATACTGCGGTTCATGGGGTCGGAAAGAGTCGGACACGACTGAGTGACTGAACTGAAGGGAATGCTGATAGACATGTTATTTGTCTTATTTATATCCCTTAGTGGACTTCCCTGGCGGTTAAGATAGTGAAGACTCTGCCCGCAATATAGGAGACCCAGGTTCGATCCCTGGGTTGGGAAGAACCCCTGGAGAAGGGAATGGCAACCCACTCCAATATTCTTGCCTTGAGAATTCCATGGACAGAGAAGCCTGGTGGGCTACAGTTCATGGGGTCACAAAGTAAGACATCACTGAGTGACTAACACTACTATATCCCATAGTATAGTTTTCTCCCCATTTCTTGTTAAGTTACTTGAATAAGATCTTTTCTACCTTGTTACTTTAAAATAACTAATATCTGAATATGCAGTTGGCCTGATGTAGACATCCCGCCCTGTGACTCTTGATTACTCACACTTATCTGCCTGGTGGACTGGTTGGGTCTCACTCATCTGTATATTCTCAGCACTGGGTAGGGTGCCTTACACATTGCAGGTGGGCCACAAATGTCTACTGAATGAAGAAATGATAGAGGCATTTATAGGCAGGACATCTAAGTTTTAGTACTAAGTATTCCACATAGAGCCCTCTCCTTCCCCCCCTTCTTTAAAATAAGTATTCAGATTATTTTATTATTATTATGGGGAAATAGATGTATAGATTAAAGCAATTCCTGCCATTGTTTGTATTTTCTCCTATAACAATGATAAACACTACTTGAGCAGTTACATGCTTGGCACTGTGCTAAGAGCTTTGCCCATATTTACCCAATTCAATTTTTCCCCCCTAAAGGTTACTGTCAATCACTTAAATAATAGACTTTAGGACTTCCCTGGTGGTCCAGTGGTTAAGACTCCATGCTTCCACCGCAGGCTACATGGATTCAATCTCCTGGTCGCTTGAGAAGAGCCCATGTGCCACACAGTGCTGCCAAAAAAATAAATACAGTTAAAGAAACAGATTTTAGTTTAGAGAAGTTTTAGGTTCACCGCAAATGGAGTGAAAAGTACAGAGAGTTGCCCTATACCCTGTCCCCACCCCACTATGCATGCGCATGTACACACACACACCTCCACACATGCAGTTTCCCTCACAATCACTGTCAGACACCAGGGTAGGACGTTTGTTACAACTGATGGACCTACAATAACATCATTATACACACACACGCACACTGACATTTTCATTACTAGCTTTTTTATTTTGAAGGACTGTATCATGTGTCTTGTCTTTCTCATTATAAAATGCAAATAAGCTTTCTTTTCTGAAGGCAAAGAATAGGATCTAGTTCTCTTAGTCCCACAAACTCTAAACCTGCTATGGGCAAGACCTGGTGTGAGGCTTTTCTAGAACTATCCCAGGAGGGGGTTGGCAGGGCGCTGGTTGTACTTGAACACTGGGTGGGTAGCAGGCAACTGGGAATACCAGGCTCCCAAAAGACATTCTTAAAACCAAACAGAAGAGTTGACTCCCATCAGAAGAGAAGAACAATCCAAAGACTGGCCTTTTCTTCTCCTAAAAGGACAAAATGAAGAAAAGAAAAAAAAAAAATAATAATAAGCACTGAGGCAATTAGTGCTTTATTGAGAAAATACTGGTGGTCATGTTCCATTCAAAGGTGATATACTGGCCAGAAACTGCGTTTCTAGAAATCTGTCCTAAGGAATGAAGTAGAGTTGGGTGCCAAAACATGCAAATAATACAAACATCTGTAGCATGCTTACAATGTGCTATGTAGTTCATGGCATCAGTGAGGCTGGTGATGTAATCCATATTTTATGAGGGAAACTGAGGCTCAAAGTAGGAAATTGACCTAGGTCACCAATCTATGAAGTAAAGTCTAGATCAACTCAGAATCTCTCTGATGACCTTGACTTTTGGGTTCAGCCTGTGTGTGTGTGTGTGGTGTGTGTCTGTCCTTGTGTGTGTTTCAAAGTATTTCCGTCCTAAGCAACAACATCAGGGAAGTCACGGTTTTGATGTCAGTTATATTTCCCCAAAACCAGTCTGAATACATTCTATCTACAATCTTCAGAGAGGCTGGCTCTCTTTTATGTTAAGGTTACCAGCACACTGGTTGAAAGGCTAACACCATACGGCCTGAAGGCAGGACTGTGAGTGTAGAGTCCAACAAATCTCAGGGTCTCTCATGGATGGAGGGATTAGTGACCCAAAGGACTCTTAACCTCAAATAGTTTAATGATGGTACTGGATTCCTGGGCTTATCCTATTCCTGGCATCCAAGAGCAGTGTATCTTTTAAATTCTTATCAATCACTTATAGGAAACATCACTCATTACACCACTGTAAGGATTAATGCTGAAGTTAAAGCTCCAATACTTTAACTACCTGATGAGAAGAGCCAACTCACTGGAAAAGACCCTGATGTTGGGAAAGATTGAGGGCAGGACAAGAAGGGGGCGACAGAGGATGACATGGTTGGATAGCATCACTGACTCAATGGACATGAGTTTGAGCAAACTCCGAGAGATAGGGAAGGACAGGGAAGCCTGGTGTGCTGCAGTCCATGGGTCACAGAGAGTCAGATACAACTTAGCAACTGAACAGTAAATATGCTAATTAAGGGGATGACAGAGGATGAGATGGCTGGATGGCATCACCGACTCGATGGACATGAGTTTGAGTAAACTCTGGAAGTTGGTGATGGACAGGGAGGCCTGGTGTGCTGTGATTCATGGGGTCGCAAAGAGTCAGACATGACTGAACTAAACTGAACACATCCTCTGGTGTAGATGTCAATGAGAATACTTTACCAAATAATCTACTCTGAAAATGCTGAATCTTTTTAGGACATCTCAAGTGCCATTTAATTGTCCCTAGGAGGTGGCAAGCCAGGCTTCAACAGTACATGAACCAAGAACTTCCAGATGTACAAGCTGGATTCAGAAAAGGCAAAGGAACCAGAGTGCAAATTGCCAACATCCATTGTATCACAGAAAGAGCAAAGGAATTCCAGAAAAAACATCTACTTCTGCTTCATTTACTATGCTAAAGCCTTTGACCGTGTGCATCACAACAAACTGTGGAAAATTCTTCAAGAGATGGGAATACCAGATTATCTTACCTGCCTCCTGAGAAACCTGTGTGCAGGTCAAGAAGCAACAGTTAGAACTGGATATAGAACAACAGACTGGTTCAAAACTGGGGGAAAGGAGTACATCAAGGCTGTTTATTGTCATCCCACTTATTTAACTTCAGAGAGTTGGACACGACTGAGTGACTGAACAAGAACAAAGGATGTGGCTTAGGGATAATTTGCATTATGCTCCCAAGTACAAGCCTACACACAGACGCGCGCGCGCGCACACACACACACACACACACATACACAGTCTCACCACAAAATTCTTATATTGATGTAACTTAAAGTCAATTATCACGCAGGCCATAGAACAGCCTCAGCAAAAAGACAACACTAGTATTTTCACTCCAGTGTTACTTACAATAATTAAAAAAAATAAAGTTGAGTAAGAATGGCTTGGTTCAAAAAGGAAATCCTGACACATTCTTGGATTTCTCAATGGCAACACTGATATTTTGGGCTGCAGAATTCTGTTTGGGGAGACTGTCTTATGCTTTGAAGGTGTTTAGCAGCAGCCCAGCTTCTAACTCACTTGATGCCAGTAGTACTCCACATCTCCCAGTTGTGCCAATCAAAAAGGACACTGTAAAATGTCTACTGGGGGCAAGACTGCACCTGGTGAGAATTACTGGTTTACAGGATGGGATACCACATGCTCAGCTGTGTCTAACTCTTTGTGACCCCATGGAATGCAACCTGCCAGGCTCCTCTGTCCAGGGATTGCTTAGGCAAGACTACTGGAGTGGGGTTGCATTTCCAACTCCAGGGGATTTTTCTGACCCAGGGATCAAACCTGCATCTCCTGCATTGGCAGGTGGATTCTTTACCACTGACCCACTTGGAATACCATACTATGAAGCCATTAATAATAGCTTGTAAAGAATTTTAATGACCCTGGAAATGTTCAAAATATGAAAAAATCAGGATTAAACACAATAAGTATGGCCCCAATTTATAAAATATAAAATGGATATATGCACTAAAATATAACTACAGCTAATCTTTTTTCATGTGCTTATTCTGTACCAAAGATCAAGTTTTCACATGTATTATCTATTTAATTTCTGAATAACCTTATGAGGTTGGTACCATGATGAACCTCATTTGACAAATAAAGAAACTGAAGCTCAGAGAGGTTAAGAAACTTTGAAAGGTAATATCAATTAACATGTTTGAATAGTAAAATTTGGGTGCTGCTTATTTATCTATTTATTTTTTCCAAGCTGTCCTCAATAAATATTTATTACCTTGTATCAGAATACTTAAAGACATTGTAGAATCACAAACCTTCCTTTTAGAGAACAAAATGCATTTCCTGAGTGCTTTCTTACTTTTCATGTAATACCTATCATCTTAGTCTTCTTCCTATGACTTGACTTTTTAAAAAATTTCTTTTTTCATTGAGGTATAATTGACATAAGACATTATACTTCAGATATACAACATAATGACTTGGTATTTGTATATATCAGAAAATGATCACCACATTCAGTCTAGTTACAATTTTTTTCCTGTGATGAGAAATTTTGCCTAAATCTACAATGGACTATTACTCAATCGTAAGAAAGAATGGAATTCTTCCATTTGCAAACAATGTGGATGAACCTGGAGGGTATTAGGCTTAGTGAAATAAGTCAGACAAAGAAAGACAGATACACTATGTTATCACTTATATGTGGAATTTAAAAAATAAAACGAATATAACAAAACAGAAACAGATTCACAGATATAGAGGACAAACTAGTATTATCAGTAAGGAGAGGGATAAGATAGGGATAGAGGATCAGGGATGTAAACTACTATGCATAAAATAAACAAGCAGCAAGGGAAGGACTGATGCTGAAGCTGAAACTCCAGTACTTTGGCCACCTAATGTGAAGAACCAATCATTGGGAAAGACCCTGAAGTTGGGAAAGTAAGGTGGGAGGAGAAAGGGACAACAGAGGATGAGATGGTTGGATGGCATCACCGACGCCATGGACAGGAGTTTGAGTAGGCTCCAGGAGTTGGTGATGGACAGGGAAGCCTGGCGTGGTGCAGTCCATGGGGTGGCAAAGAGTCGGTCACGACTGAGTGACTGAAATAAACTGAAATAAGCAGCAAGGACATATTGTACAGCACACAGAAATAAAACCATTATCTTAAAATAACTTTAAATAGAGTACAATCTATAAAAATGTTGAATCACTGATATGCACCTGAAAGTAATATATCCACTGTACTTCAATTAAAAAAAGATCTGCTCTCTTAGCAACTTTCAAATATGCAATACAGTATTATTACTATAGTCATCATACTGTACCTTGACTTCTTTTTTAATAACATTTTCTTTCTAATTATTTGATCACTTAAACCTGTAATGAAGAATCTTCCCCATTATTCTAGCCCAGGTGAATATTTAGTGCTTCAGTTTAAAGCCCTGAAATCACTGAAATAAAACTTTGATGAAAACTTTCTAGAAAAATAAGGTACCCAGATACCTTGAAACAAGTTTTTTCTAGCTTAAAATTAACTAGAAAACTCAAAAAAATCCCTGTTGAGATCTTTTGAAATATATCAGCCAATATTCCTCTCCTTGGTGAAGAATGTTCATCGGCAGAACAGATAAAAATAGCTTTAGTATGCTTTGAGGATGGTGAGTCCTTGAGCCTGTGGAAGCTTAGGTTTTTGATATCCCAAGATCAGGACACAATACTGATGTTTAGGAAAGTAAGATTTCTGACCACTGGAAGATAATTTTTTTTTTTTTTGCCACTCCACTCGACTTGTGGAATCTTAGTTCCCACAACAGGGATCAAAACCAGACCCTTGGCAGTCAAAGTGCAGAGTCCTAACCACTGGACCTCCAGGGAATTCCCGGGGAGATACTTTTATGTTGCTACTTGCCTGTTTGAAGATTATCCAAAGTGGCAAACAAAATCAAAATCACAATGAGGTACCACCTCACACTGGTCAGAGTGGCTATCATTAAAAAGTCTACAAATAGCAAATGCTAGAGAGGGTGTGGAGAAAAGGGAACCTCCCTACACTGTTGGTGGGAATGTACATTGGTGCAGCCACTATGGAGAACAGTATGGTGGTGCCTCAAAAAACTAAAAATAGAGCTGCCATGTGATCCAGAAATCCCACTCCTGGCATATGTCAGGGCAAAAGTATAGTTCAAAAAGATACATGCACCCTATGTTCATGGGCTTCCCTGGTGGCTCAGATCATAAAGAATCCATCTGCAATGCAGGAGACCTGGGTTCGATCCCTGGGTTGGGAAGATCCCCTGGAGAAGGGGAAGAATACTGGCTACCCACTCCAGTATTCTGGCCTGGAGAATTCTGTGGACAGAGGAGCCTGGCAGGTCACAGTCCATGGGGTCACACAGAGTTGGACACGACTGAGCAACTTTCACTACATTCATAGC